AAATTCAAATCTTCTTCTCGACAAAAACTTTATTACGGTCAAAATATTAATTCCAAACAGTTTACTACGGTCGAAAATATTCGCTCGAAGCATTTTATTACGGTCGATATTTTCCCGAATCCTCAAAAACATTTTATTTTCTCCGCACTTTTATCATCATTGCTCTAGACGGGTCTTAACGATTCGGTTTTCCCAATCCCTATAATTTTCCTGGCAGAGTCATTCCCCAATTCTAGGTATAATAAGGGCCTCAGTCCCGCACTCCTCCGTTTTGCAAAAGGGACACGTCACAGGGATAGTCTTTCTCTACCTCCCCCAAGCGTGTCTCGCCATGGTCCGTGCTTGTCCTTAAGAGTCCTAACATTTCGCTATAATCTTCAGTACTTTCCAAGTTAACGAATTACACCGCGTCGGTTACGTTCGATCTTTAATAAATATCAGACAGACTCTCTCGATATTTTTATAAGCATTATTTGATATCCGTTTTAAATTACTTTCATATTAAACCTGTACAATCGATAAGTAAATAAATAAATTATTCAGTTAAATGTTACAAAATTATTTTAAATTAAAAATAAAATATCTTATCAGAAACACCTCTTCAGTATTAATTCACTGAACGAGTGTACAGTCCGAATAGATTCTCCTGGACCCTTGGGAAAAACGTTCCGGAGCGTTCCTTGTAAACAATGAAAAGAGGTGACAATAATTTTCCATCATTAGATATCGTGGGTTGTATCGCATAACTGTGTGTCGTTGATGTTATAGATTTTACAATGCACGAGACTTCTTTAGACCCCTTGTCGGCCAAAGTGCGTCCCGAATGCGTTTCCAATTGGAAACCACTTTGATCAGAATCATAGATGTTTTACGAGCAATGCATTTCAAAATATGGTTTGATTTTTTGCACGAATTCATCCGCTATTTTTTGTAAATCTTCTTGATTTTCCATTGTTTTACTCGTCACGAATTTAGTAATCTTGCGAGATGTAATACGATGAGCTCTTTTGAAGTAATGCAGCCACCACGGGGAAGCCTTGAAACGAATATCCTCATTTCCAATATCTTTCTGGGCTCGCAGGGCCCATCTTCGTAGGTCTGCATAATGAACAATTAATCCCGCATGAATAGCATTCTTCATATTTTTCAATGTATACTCTGATAAACGCTTCAACTTCTCCATATAAGTTCCTCCTTTATTGACTTGATGCGCCCGGCGACGTAATTGTTGGACGGATTTCACTTTTTTGAATCTATCGTAAACGGTTTTTATACACAGATTTTTCTTGGTTTTCGCACTCCTCCAGAATTCAACTGCTTTTTTTTATATTCATAGCCTGTAGGTTAGTCATCATCCGAACAACTATCAGATGATTCATTAAGACGCGGTTGGAATTCTGTATCCTAAACTGGTATCATTTCGACATCTTTATATGGCTCTTGGAAATCGAGAGTGGATTCTTCAATCATTTCCACACCATTATATTCCTCCATAGTTTCTTTCAATATGTTCTCGAAATTAGTTGCCAATTCTCGTTCTTCATTAGTTACGGGAGTTTCCACAAGGTTCATCACTTCAAATGTTGCCATGAGGAGCTTAATAACGTTTATAGGATTGAATCTCATAGTGAAAACAATTGAAGATATACAATTCGAAAGAGAATGTTTTCCCGTGATATGTTTATGTATGCTGAACACTGTGCGAAACGGATGAGCAGAAAATTACAGAAATATTCGGGGTTATCAATAATGCATGATTACTAAACTGATACGCCAGTTTTGGGTATAGGTGACGTTCGCATGAGTATTGTTACTTTGTTTGGATTCATTATCACTTTCAGAAGTGTGTTAACACCACATATAGTATAATAATGAATCACCTCATGGAACCATTATCCAGTTTCCCCAGACACGAAAATTATAAGATGAATAATAATATATGGAAAAATTCCGATTATTCGGCAAGTTTTTTTTGTATTTGTGGCTGCTTTTCCTTGGAATAACCACAAGATTGCTGCACCTGAAGTAGAAGAAAATTCCATCCCAGTGGATCATTGTTTCTTTAATCTGTTATTGTTGCCATCATAATGGCGGATTCTGAAAGAATATAATCTTCACGAGCGGACTATTAGAATCAAAATTGAAAATTCATATATTTGGAATCAGTGACTTATAAAAGAAACCATCGTTCTTACTTCATAACTTCGATGCCGAGATAAATACGAAAAAAGGTATACTGTATTATTTCATGATCTTCCCGATGCAATCATTTTCATAAAATTCTGAGCCATATATTTTTTTAATAAAAAAAAATCATTTCGAAGGGGTAGTTCACCCCCCAAATTTCAACCCCCAGAGGAACTATTAATCGTGATTTTCATAAAATCAGAAAATCCAAAAACACTTATTCTACATTTTTCCATGTTCTTTCAAACGCAAATGGTTTTATAAAATTCTGAGCCATAGTTTTTTTTTTTTTGAAAAACGAAATTTTTATAGGGGTAGTTTATCCCTCAAATTTCAATCCCCGGATGAACTATCAATTATGATTTTCATAATTTCTCCTCAGCTATATATATTACCTTGATGAAATGGATAAAAAAAACTTCACCACTGTGATGGGTGATATTTCCGAGAAATTATTTTTTTCACCCCAGAAAACTTCAGTTTCAGGGAAAATCCAAAAATATATTAAGGATATTCTGCATTTTTCCATGCTCTTCCAAATGCAATTGGTTTTATTAAATTATGAGCCATATATTTTTTTNCCCCCCCCCCCCCCAATTTCAACCCCCGGAGGAACTATCAATTGTGATTTTTATAACTTCTCACAAGCTATTGATTACCGTGATGAAGATTTGTAAAAACACCCTCCTTATAGGTGGGATTGAAAGATCATCCCCGAAGTTGGTCAACTTCTGACCATGGTTTCTCCCCTAAAGCCTCGTATTAGCCGATAAAAAAAATACGCGCCCTTTAGTTTTGAGTCCTCTATAACATATATGAGTTTGACCAAAATCGGAGGGGAACACCTTCCTAGTGTTCCTTGTAAGAGGAACCACAGAATCTACTAGAAAGTAAACTTTAATCGAACCCAACCTAATTTGCGTAGCTTGCGCAACATGAATGACTTTGTGACGACATGAAATACTCTTTGTAAAG